GGGAACAAAAACCAAATAATTGGAGTGCCTCTGTTCGGCTGCTGCAGGGGGAGAGCTGGATGGACTGCTGTGCTGCTTTGATGTTCCTTAGCACAGAGAGCTCACAGAGCTACAAGGGAATCCCAAGAAATGCAGGGATCAGCTCTGCCTTCCCACAACATTGCACTGTGGGATGCCTACCCACATTGCTTTGTTGACTGGGGAGCTAGAAATGTGTCCATGAAATGTTGACAATGGGAGGGAGAAAAACAAGTTTGACCAGTTTTCACTTTTGGTGACTTTTGCATGTCTACAGCACTTTTGTCGCTAAACCTTTCCAGTGTAGACATAGCCTGAATCCAGATCCCTTCTTCTGTTAAATAGTAATAGAAATGTAGCCGTGTTAGTCTGGTGTAGCTGAAGCAAAATGCAGGACTATGTAGCACTTTAAAGACTAACAAGATGGTTTATTAGATGATGAGCTTTCGTGGGCCAGACCCACTTCCTCAGATCAAATAGTGGAAGAAAATAGTCACAACCATATATACCAAAGGATACAATTAAAAAAATGAACACATATGAAAAGGACAAATCACATTCCTTCTGTTCTGAAATGGTTAGAACAAGACACAAAAGTTCACTTCTGTTCTGAAATGGTTAGAACAAGAATTTGAGCATTAAAAGAATTTTCTTTATGCATCTCTGGCAGATTAAATCTCTTAAAGACACACTATCAGCTTGACTTTTAAAAACTGAATTGTTTGTAAAAAAAAGTTTTCACAGAGAGTGCTCTTTAGTATAACCGAAGTTTTTAAAAATGTCTTTCGGGACTGTTGCTACAACTCCCGACTTCTCCCATGGGGACTGCAGTAAGGGAGCTGCCACCACCACTGTTTCTCCCCCACCACTGTTTCTTCCAGCTCCTCCCCCAAAGGAGCTCTCATGGCTGCCTCTACCATCAGCCCCACACAGCATGCCCAGTGGAGCTAGAGGAGCCCTCTGCCCATGGCTGGGTTGTGAGTGGGGGCTGTTCCTGGAGTACTGTTTAACCGTTACCTTGTAAGCATTACTCTTTAAGGGTGATGCTTATTGGGTGTCCGTCTAACCAATTACTTGTTAACATCCCTAGTGCATACATTTTCCTTTTTTTCCCAAATAAAAACAAAATTAATTAAGGACCTGAGTAATACTGGGTAAATATACTAGTAAAAAGAAAATTAATTAAGGACCTGAGCAATACTGGGTAAATATACTAATTTGGGATAAAACCCAAATAATTTGAAAGCAAAGAAACGACTAATTAAGGACATCATAGTTCTTATACTGCCTTTTTTTTTTATAAACAAAACGATTTTTCTTATGAGGTAGGAGAAAACGCATATTTCAGTCCAACACAATAACCTTAACTCTGACCAGTCCACATAGCCAGTTTATGGGCTTTTTGTTATCCAGGAGCTAAATACTTCCTTCTAAAAGCTATTATTTATGTGGGAAGTGGTATCAGAGATGTCAGTGGTCACTTGACAGGACATTTTTTTGGGACATTCTTATAAACACAACTCCTCAAGAACAACACTGGGCATGTGGTTTACTCCGAGAGTCTGTATATTACCAACTGTAGTTCTGTGGCCACCACCCACCTGCGTGTCCCATTCATGACGTTTCCAGTCACTTCCCCAGCCCATTCACTCTGCAGCAAGCGGGCGACAGAGCTTGTCCAAAATGGAACGCAAGAAGTTTCAAAACAAGTCTTTTCTCAGTGCCAGCTCCAGCCAAGCACCTGCCCTGGGCTTCTCTAGCTCACTGCATATAGATTTGGTCTCCTCATCTCAAAAAAGATATACTGGCATTAGAAAAGGTTCAGAGAAGGGCAACTAAAATGATCAGGGGTTGGAATGGGTCCCATATGAGGAGAGGTTAAAGAGACTGGGACTTTTCAGCTTGGAAAAGAGGAGACTAAGGGGGGATATGACAGAGGTCTATAAAATCATGAGCGCTTTGCTGGACCCCCCCAGCAGACCAGGGAGACCGGGAGAAGCTTTTCTCGCCCCGGAGGACACGGGTGGCGACTCGCCGCCCGTGAGCTCCGGGGTGAGAAAAGCCCCATTCGTAAGTGCGGATCCGACGAAAGTCGGGGACTGCCTGTAAATGTAAAGAAGCTATTGTAATCAGATGACTGAAACAATAGCACTAACACCTCCAAATACAGGCATGTGGAAAAGCTGAGTAGGAACTGAATCCAAGAGGTTTCAAATGCAGGGGCTAGAGCTTTAATTGATGGAAATATTTTGGTCAGTGCTTGTTTGAGAGAGATAGCACAGAGAGAAGCAGAATGAAAGCCAAGCAGATACAGCCTAGAACATGGTATGTGGCCCTGGGAGAAGCTTAAAGAAAAGTTTGGGGACAGAGTGCTGTCTGAAAGAGTTTGATGCTATGAGCTGGTTTTTTGTTCCTTCTCTCTGTGGAGAAACAGGACTTACCTTTGATTCAATCTCATTTAATTACAAAAAACGTATCTGTGTCTGTCATCAATTTTTCCTCCCAAATGGAACAGCATGAAGGGCCCTGAACTTAGAACTAGCCTCTTGGGTCAAAAGTAACGTTACTGTCTAAATAGAATAGGTGGACAGAGAATGGGGAAAAGTGGTATGACGCACAAAGTGGGTGAACTGTGTCATGGCAGCAAAAGTCATGTTACACGTACACTCAGAGAAACGATGATTGTCTCCAAGCTAGAAAAAGTCCCATATACTAGCAGTCCAGCTTGCTCCCTTGCTGAATTAATCTTCTGGCTTTGTGCATCCAGATGACACAATTATTTAGTTAATCAAGATAAGTGGAGACTGAAAAACTTCAGAGGGACCTAAGAATGGGCAACACAGTGGCAGATTAAATATTAATAAATCCAAAGTAATATTTCTCCCCAAACTGGGAAGAATAATTTGATTTGTTCAGACACATTGATTCTAAATTAACTGTGTTAGCACTCAAGAAATTGACCTGGCATCACTGAATAGCTCATTTAAAATCACTGATCATTGTACAAAGATAATCAGAAGTGCTAACAAGATGAGAAAACCACAGTGCATTTGAAAATAGAACATAAGCCTCCCAAGTCACATAGGTGCTTTTGAAAATTGTACTAAGGATTTGTTTTAAATAAACCCAATATATTAAAACAGCTTTCATAAGGAATAATAAACTCATGCTTTGTAATGAGCCAATTTGCTTATAGACAGGGCTAGGAAAACACTTCTCCTATGGGTAGATTATTCTATTCTAGTTTGCTTCAAGATTTCTTATATCTTCCGCTGAAGCATCTGTTCATGGCCAATCTTTGAGGGCTAATCTATAGGAACATTTAATTTGTGGCAAGTAGGGATGTTAATGGGTAAACCAGTTAACCATTAAGTATCACCTTTAACGGTTAACCCATACCCAAAGGAACAGCCTCATGCCGGAGGCCTGTCACGGATGGAGGGCTGCTCCAGTCCTCCTGTGCCCTGTGTGGAAGTGAGCATGGAAGTGGCAGCAGCTCTGCCAGTCCCATGTGGGGCTGCTGGGAGCAAGCTGAAAGCAACTAGGCTGGAACAGCCTCTGCCTCCAGTGGGAATGCCATTCTCCCTATCTGCTCCCATTTAATCAGTTAACCGGTTAACTAATTAAATAGGATTTTACCTCCCCAGTAGCAAGCTGGGGTATGAATCTACTCCACCTCAACATTAGTCAACAATTCACGATGCAATGCTGTTGCAAAAAAATAAAATAAAATTTGTGGGGCTTGTATTAACCAGAGGTATACATGCAAGTCATGGGAAGTGATAGTACCATTCTATTCAGCACTGGTTAGGCCTCAGCTGGAGTACTGTGTCCGATTTTGGTAACAGCTGTACGGAAAGGATCCAGAGGCAAGTTCAAAAGCCATATGAGCAAAGGTTAAAGGAACTGAGTATGTTTAATGTGGAAAAGAGGAGATTAAGAAGGGTTGTGATAGTGATCTTCAAATATTTGAAAGACTTCTATAAAAAAGGTGAAGAAAAATTGTTCTCTCTTGCCACAGAGAACAGGATAAATGAAAGTGGGTTCAAACTACATCTTAGCAGATTTACATTAAATACAAGGAAAAGAAATTCCTAACTGTAAGAACAATAGGACAATAGAACAAACTTCCTAGGAAAATCATGGAATTTCCTTCACTGGAGGTTTCCAAAAAGAGGCTGGTTAGCCATCTGTCGTGGATGATTTAGACACATACATGCTGTGTCTTGGCATGTGGTTGAACTAAATGACCCTTGCAGTCCTGTCTAATCTGATAGTTCTACACCTCTATGCTATACACTTACAGGTTGAACCTCTCTTGCCCAGCACTCTTTGGTCTGGCAACATCTATGGTTTGGCTTGATTTTAGTTAACTGGATGTCCTCTTATGGGTGTGGCCAAGTTTTCCATGGTCCCATAAAGTTTGTTTACAGCCAGTGGTCCTGGCTCTCAGTGTTTTGTGCCGTTATTTAGCTCTAATTTACCCCTAGATGTCTTCTCAGAGCCCAGTAAGCAGGGAAAGTGTTGATAATGCTGCTAGACAGTATTGATCTCCCATGGTTTGGCAAATTCCCTGGCTCAGCACCGGTTAGGTCACGAAGGTGCCAGACTAGAGAGGTTCAACCTGTATTCTGCTCAAGACTACCTGCATGAACTCTGCTAATGTTCATTAATAGCTTGCTAATGCACTTTGATCTGGCCCCATTTCAATGAGGATAAAATAAAGCACATTATCCAACTGTTAACATTGGTCAACAGAGTCCATGCAGAATTAAACCGGGGCGAACTAGATTCACACCTCAGCTTTATATAAACTAAAGGTAGATAAATCCTGAGACATATACTGGACTAAGTAGACCACTAGTCTGATTAAGTATGGGAAATGCTGTATTCTTATCCTCTATGCATACAAATGAGGAGTTAAAACAACAAAAGGGATTAGCAATGCAGTAAATTGAAATGTAAGTTTTATGTTGATCAAGGAATGAATTAACTCCATGATTTCACTGAAGTGTGCCCCATCACATTCTAATCAGTTTGGTACTTTCTTCCAGGCAGCCATAGTGCTGTGTATGGATGTAGGCTTTGCAATGAGCAATTCTGCTCCTGGAGAGGAGTCTCCATTTGAGCAAGCTAAGAAGGTGATGACGAAGTTCGTGCAGCGGCAGGTATGTGTGATTTCTGTTTGAGCATGACACTCTTAGAAGGTTAGAAATGAAAGGAAAACAGTGAGGCTCTTTAGACTCTTGTTCTTTGTTCTTTTTATTTGATTATATTGTGTTTAGCTGGGAAACTTGTTAGAATTATTCTAATTGTTTCATGTGAACACTGGCTTTACTCCCAGCATATTTTTGTGGATGAGAAGTCACTCCCCCTTTTAAGATACAAGAGGCTTTTATGGAAAAAGAGGGCTGTCATCTTATAAAATGTTTCAGCATTGTTAAAATTTAGTATCTTGTAGAATTACTCTGGGAACGGAATGATTTAATCTTACTCATTCTCCCCTCCCCCATATGTTGATTAGTGATGCCTGCTAGCTGAATTTAAGTCTAAGTTAATGAGCTCTGTGTATGCATACATTTAGGAAGGACTGTCTATATGATAGTGTGGAGTCTGCCATAATTAATGTGTAGTTGCATAATTTGTGCAGTTTGCTTTCTGTTTAACATGTGTGCACAACACTGTGTATATTTTTGTGTCCTTTTTGTACCTTCTCCATTTCCAGGTGTTTGCTGAGAGTAAAGATGAAGTCTCTGTAGTTCTGTTTGGTACAGATGATACACAGAATACCCTTGCCAGTGGTGATCAGTATCAGAACATTACTGTACAGAGACATCTGATGCTACCGGATTTTGACTTGCTGGAGGAAATACAAAATGCAATTCAACCTGGCTCTGAACAAGCAGACTGTATCCTCTCTGGTGGTAGAAAATCTCTGAACTAGATAATGTTGCATAGGGAACTGGGAGCCCATTTTGTGAAACTGGCCCAGAAATGTTGTTGAAGTCATAACTACTGTTAAACATGTATAGTTCTTTTGAGTTGGGAGTTGACCGTTTGTCCAAGGGCCAGATTCTCAGATTAACCAATTTTCAGAGTTGTTTATAAGATGTTAGGTGGAGTCTTGGCCCCAATTTGTTATTTCTAATATAGAGTCCTGAGTTAATTAAGCTTTGAGCACTTCTGGTATCTTCTTCTCTGTGAGACCGAGAGAGGAAAAAATATAGCAAAGAGATAATATCAGATTAGACTCCCAATAAGTTTTTTTAAGGGATTTATAAAGCCTAATGCAAAGTAGGTTTTTGTCAAATTAAACCAATTAAAACTTTTTTTAAAAAGCCTCCCACTGAAAGGGAAGCCCAACACAGCTGCATGTGCTTAGGCATATCAGATTGATCAGTTCTCATTTCACTGTGAAATGCATATATTATGAAAAGTCACTTCTGTTAGTGACATAAGGGAGAGTTTTGGAAAGCATTCCCCTGAACATTTCATTTGAAAGCTCTTCTTATTTCTCCTGTTCTTAAAAATCATGGTTTCAAGCTGTAATCTAGTGGGCAGAACCATGTCAGAAAAGCCTGCAGCCAGTCAGTTGTATGTTGCCACAAATTGAATCATTCTCAGTTTGATGAGTAAGGAGGCATGTACATGGGTAAGAGGCATTGTTGCATAAGTCCTGGTTTTAGGCATCGTTGCAATTCACAGAATTCCAGTTTATATGCCACCTAACCTATAGGTGCCTACATTCACTTGTCAGCTAATATTTTTCCTCTGGGTGTGCATGCTGCCCCCTCACTTTTAGATATCTGGTCACCCATCTTCTGCCTGAATAATACACACTACTGGCTTGCAATTGGTATCTAGACACCTGTCTCCCAAGTAAGCCCCAGAGCAATTCATAGACTGAGAAAGATAAATCCCTAGCTGCCAAAGTTGTATGTGGGAGTCTGATCCAGTAGGTGGCTTCTGAGCATGGCTGCTTGATCTAGGTTTCCCCGGTGAGTTCACACAACGACAGCTAGGGATAAAAGGTGAAGGACCTCTTACAACCCTTAGCCCGGCATATAAGGTACTCACCCAGAATGTGAGAGACCCCTGTTTAAGTTCCCTCCTCCTGAGAGAGAGAAGGCATTTGAACAAGGAACTGCCACCTGTCAGGTTGACCGCTAGACCATTGAATCTTCCTGTAGGGATCTCCTTCAGTTTACCCAGTTGAAGTTGTTTCACTTTTATTAAGCACTTGAATATTGAAATATTAACTGGACCAGTATAAAAAGTAGAGTAATTCTATAGCCTCATGATTAGGGCACTCACCTGAGCAATGGCTGATCCCTTAGCAGGAGCTGGGACTTGAGCCAGGGCATCTCCCACATCCTGAATGATTCCCCTGGGTATTAGGCTGAAAGTTATAAAGGAGGCCCTTCCCTGCTATCCCAACCCACCAAACTGCTTTGTTTCAGGCCTCATACAAACTTAGGTGACCTAAAGCTTGTCTTCCACTGGTTCGTGGGGATTGCTAGCAGCCTGGACTTAGGTACCTATTTCTGAGAGAGGGGTGAGGCTTAATACCCTCCTCTGGTTGGCTTCTCTCACTGGCTAGCTCAGATGTCTTCCTGCCTAGCATGCTGGCTTTGCTTTCAGTTTAAGGTGCCTATCTCTCCCTATGGGCAGCCGAAGTGCCTAACTCAGGCTTTGTGGATGGCAGTGTTGTTCCTGTGGATTTGCTAGGCCCCTTGAAAGTTGGGTGCTGTGATGCTCAGTGATGCGGAGCCTAAGTCCCCTTGTGGGTCTGGGCCACAGATCCCTACGCACAGAAATAAGTGTATATCTTCAGTGAAATTATTTTAGAAAAGAAATGTATCCAGAGAATATCAGAAACAAAAGTTTATTAAGAAAAGGGGAATTACTGTGAAAAATGACATCATGTTTTAGAACTACCTGTAGCTTTTGTTCATGGATTTCAAATAAAGAGACGATAATAATACAAAAGTCTAGGTGATCCATGTTTTCATTGGACTCAATCTTGCTCTTATCGTAGCTTTGCTCTTGACTTCGATAGCAAGCTTGGTTCTTGATAATCTTTCCTTTAAAGTGTAGGAAAAGATAGGGTTATGGGAAAGGCAAAAGCTAGTTTTAACAGCTGCTATTTTGGTTGTCCTACCCTAAAAGGCTTTAACTGTCTTTGAAGAAACACAGAATTAAAGAGAAAACATGTATGTTTGTGGCACAATCTTTTTTTTCTAAATGTCTTTAACTCGTTTAGTCCTGGACGCACTTGTAGTGTGCATGGACCTGCTTCAAAAGGAAACCGTGTAAGTACTGCCGCCAAAGGACTCGCACAAGAATTCTGAAATGGAGGGTTGGGAACTGTGCTGACTCCGTTCTCATGCTGCAGGGTTGTGTGACTAGGGAAGATGTTGTTTTAAAAAAATTACCTCAGTGAAAAGCTGTTCCTAAAAAGATCACTAGAGAGACCCAACTTCCCCCAAGCAATTTAAGTCACTTGAATAAGAGCCTGCCTACCTAGGGAAGTTGTACTGCTTTAAACTAAGGTGCGAATCTAAACTAATATAATGTTACCAGTCTAACTCTTTGAATGGGCACTTGCAGTCTGGTATAATGAAGCCTTTTGTTGCTTTGGAGGGGTTTAAGATAACTGAAGAAAGCCACTCTTATTCTGGAACAAGAGCAACTACATGGAAGTGGACATAGGAATTACTATGCTGGTTTAACTATTCCAGTATAACTGGAAGAGCTTTTCTTTGTAGATAAGCCCTAAATAGATTTTACAGTGTGCTTGTCTAGTCAGTAAATTTTGGATTTGTTTGGACTAATGAGGGGAAATAAATTCTTGAGAATATCTTGTATCCAGCTGCTCTGGGATGAAATCTCCATATACCTAATTGGGATATCTTAGTTTTTCTTCTACTTTCAGGAAGGAGCTAAATTATACAGAAATAACCTCTAGCTCTATTTCTGATCGAGCTAGTATGCTAAAAACAGGATGGGATGTCATGGTAAGCCAGTTTGAACCCACGACATTGGGTGGGATGCACTAGGGTGGCTAGCCTGTGCCACTTCTCTTGCCACCAGGGCCCTAGTACGATTTTTAATGTACTAGCTGGAGGTGAACTAGTGCATGTATATCTGTCCATGCTGGAAATTACACCTCCCAGCTACAGTGTAGACTTACCCTGGAATGAGGGATGTAACTATCCGTTTAAGAAATGAACCAGTTAAACAGTATTTGTAACTGTCTCAGAGGGGTAGCTGTGTTAGTCTGTAACTTTAAAAACACCATGAAAGGTAGGGATCCCATGGCAGGGGCTTCTCTTGACAGGGGCCTCTGTGGCTGGGGTCCTGTCAGCCAACCCACCGCGGGCAGGTGGCTCCTCCAGCCTGGCCTTTTATGGGCAGGGCTGCTCCGGCTGTGCTGGGCCTACTGGGCCATACTGCACATGGGAGGTTGCTCTGGCTGGGCCTCCCACACTGGGGGTGGGGGATGTTCCAGTTGGGCCAGGTGGCCAGTTAATTGGTTATTGGGTAAGCATGCCAGTAAGGCTAATGTTTACTAGATAACGGGTTAGACTTTTCCCATCTCTATCTAGAATCCTGCCTTGATAAAGAAAAAAGGTGCTTTTTGCAGCAATTAGCTTAATAGGATTGGAAATAAACCTTTAACATCCATAACAAGGGGTCTGGTGACACTGCAAATATTAATACATTTATTAGAGTATAAGGACATCAGCTTTCGTGAGCTGCAACTCACTTCCTCAGATGCTGAAGAGAAAAAGAAGTGATACAGAGATGGCAGTGTAGCGCAAATAGAGGAGTGATACTTGGGAACAGGAGCTCAGGAAGAGTTCTAAGTCAGCCATAAAGATATTGCCATACTGTGGGGCTCAGCTGCTGTTCCCAAGTGCCCCTTCTCCTATTTGCACTACATTGATGACATCATCATCATGTGGATCCACAGGAAGGAGGCCTTTGAAGAATTCCACTGGGATTTCAACAATTTCCACCCCACCATCAATCTCAGCCTGGACCAGTTCACACAGGAGATCCTCTTCCTGGACACTATAGTACAAATAACTGATGGTCACACGCATACCACTCTACACTGGAAATCTACTGAATGCTATACTTACTTACACACTTCCAGCTTCATCCAAACCTCATCACACAATCCATTGTCCAGGCAAGCCCTAAGATCCAGCTGCATTTGCTCCAATCCCTAAGACAGAGATAAACACCTACAGGGTGTCTAGTAAGCATTCTTAAAACTACAGTACCCACCTGGAGAAATGAAGAACTAGATTGATAAAGTCAGGTGGATACCCAGAAGTCACCTACTACAAGACATACCCAACAAAGAAAGCAACAAAACACCATTACCTGCTGCCCCAGCTAAAACCTCTTCCACAGATCATTAGAGATCTACAACCTATCCTAGATGACTATCCCTCCCTCTCACATACTTTGGGAGGCAGGACAATCCTCATTTACAGATAGCCTCCCTCCCCAGACTTATACTACCAACTTTACACCTCACAACAGAAACACTAATTTAGGAATCTATCCCTGCAACAAATCCTGTTGCCAGCTCTGTCCACACACCTACCCTAGTGACACCATTACAGGACCTAACCACATCATCCATAACATCCAAGGCTCATTCACATGCGCATGTACTAATGTGATATAGGCCATCATGTGCCAGCAACGCACTCTTGCCATGTACTTTGGACAAACCGGACTGTCTGTACGCAACAGAATAAATAGACGCAAATCACACATTAAGAATGGCAACTTGCAAAATACCTGTGAGGAAGCGCTTTTAACCTTCCTGGACATACAGTTTCAGACTTGCAAGTTGCTATTCTTAGGCAAATATCTTCAAAAACAGACTACAATGAGAAACTGCTGAGCTGGAATTCATATGCAAATTTGACACTAAACCAAGGTTTAAATGGACAGATTGCATGGTTCTCATGTTACAATAGATAATTCCCCAGTCAGGTACTCACATTTTTTCATCATTGTTGGAGATGAGCCACATCCACTCTGATTTAATTAGTGCTGATGTCACACTCCCATCTCTATCCCTGCCTTTTTTTCTTTTTCTCTTCAGCCTCTGAGAAAGTGAGTTGTAGCTCATGAAAGCTTATGCTCTTACATGCTAATAATTTTGTTAGTCTTTAAAGTGCTACCAGACTCCTTGTTTTTGTTGAAACATACTAACACAGCTATCTCTCTGAAACTTAACATCCATGTAATCACCAAAGACCAGATTCTCTTTGGTATAAAGTGTACCATTAACATCAGTGTAGTTAAACTAATGTATATCAGCTGAGAGCCAGGTTTTCTATTCACTTGGTGGGGGAAAAAAAAAAAGAAAAAGGACACAGAGTTCCCTTGAATAATAAGGAAACACCTATGCTGATTGGATTCAGCATATCTTGATGTTTTCAGACTTCCATTACAAGAAATTCTAAACTTTATTAGAGATACAGTTTTCATTCTTAAAAACAAGTGTTCAGAAAATGAGGCAACCACATTTGTTTTAATTGCTACAAATCTTTGTTTTTATTGTTTAAGAGGAAAGAAATATGAGAAGCGACACATTGAGGTGTTTACAGACTTAAGCAGTCCCTTCAGTGAGGATCAGCTGGAAATTATCATCGCTAACTTGAAAAAAACGGGAATCTCACTGCAATTTTTGTAAGTGTGGCTGTAGCTCTAAAGCGTCTTCACAGCCGTGTGCCATTTTCATCACATAATTACAGCTATCTTAAATGATCTGCTGTTGTGGTAAGTGCTATGTTTGGTGTAAAGGTGCCACTAAGTGTAATAGTATTATTATTTGATTTCCTGGAGTGCATACAGATCTTGGTCAGGGAACAGGGACTTGCTATGCACTGCACTGCACAAACTCGGAAATAGAAAGATGGCCCTTTCACAAGGGCCTGACAAGCTCTGTATAAAACACGAGAAAGTAGAGAGTGAAAGAGACAGAAGGGAATACTCGGAAACAATAAGACGGTGGTCTCAGGAAGCCAGCTGCCTGTTTGTCTAAGGAAGGAGGATAATGAGGTAACTTACTCCCCAGCCCGCAGGGCAGCATGGAAGAACACATGAAAGGGCTTTTAAAAAAAATAACAAGTAGACAATTGAATAGTGGAAAATATTGTAGACACCAATATTTAAAAAGGGCTCTAGAGGCGATCCTGGCAATTACAGACCGGTAAGTCTAACTTCAGTACCGGGCAAATTAGTCGAAACAATAGTAAAGAATAAAATTGTGAAGCATGTAGAAAAACATAATTTGTTGGACAAAAGTCAACATGGTTTCTGTAAAGGGAAATCCTGTCTTACTAATCTGTTAGAGTTCTTTGAAGGGGTTAACAAACATGCGGACAAGAGGGATCCAGTAGATATAGTATACTTGGATTTTCAGAAAGCCTTTGACAAGGTCCCTCACCAAAGGCTCTTGTGTAAATTACATGGCCATGGGATAAGAGGGAAGGTCCTTTCTTGGATTGAGAACTGGTTAAAAGACAGGAAACGAAGGGTAGGAATAAATGGTAAATTTTCAGATTGGAGAGGGGTAACTAGTGGTGTACCCCAAGGGTCAGTCCTGGGACCAATCCTTTTCAACTTATTCATAAATGATCTGGAGAAAGGGGTAAGCAGTGAGGTAGTAAAGTTTGCAGATGATACCAAACTGTTTAGGATAGTCAAGACAGAAGCAGACTGTGAGGGACTCCAAGAAGATCTCACCAAACTGAGTGATTGGGCAACAAAATTGCAAATGAAATTTAATGTGGATAAGTGTAAAGTAATGCACATCGGGAAAAATAACCCCAACTATACGTACAGTATGATGGGGGCTAATTTGGCTATGACAAATCAGGAAAGAGATCTTGGAGTTATCGTGGACAGTTCTCTGAAAACTTCCACACAGAGTGCAGCGGCGGTCAAAAAGGCAAATAGGATGCTAGGAATTATTAGGAAAGGGATAGAAAATAAGACCCAGAATATCTTACTGCCCCTGTATAAAACTATGGTACGCCCACATCTTGAATACTGTGTGCAGATGTGGTCTCCTCACCTCAAAAAAGATATTTTGGCCTTAGAAAGGGTTCAGAAAAGGGCAACTAAAATGATTAGGGGTTTGGAACGGGTCCCATATGAGGAGAGGTTAAAGCGACTGGGACTTTTCAGTTTAGAAAAGAGGAGACTGAGGGGGGATATGATAGAGGTCTATAAAATCATGAGTGGTGTGGAGAGGGCTGATAAAGAAAAGTTATTTATTAGTTCCCATAATAGAAGAACTAGAGGACACCAAATGAAATTAATGGGGAGCAGGTTTAAAACTAATAAAAGAAAGTTCTTCACACAGCGTGTAGTCAACCTGTGGAACTCCTTGCCAGAGGAGGCTGTGAAGGCTAGGACTATAATAGAGTTTAAAGAGAAGCTGGATAAATTCATGGAGGTTAGGTCCATAAAAGGCTATTAGCCAGGGGATAAAATGGTGTCCTTGGCCTCTGTTTGTCAGAGGCTGGAGAGGGATGGCAGGAGACAAATCGCTTGATCATTGTCTTTGGTCCACTCTCTCTGGGGCACCTGGTGCTGGCCACTGTCGGTAGACAGGATACTGGGCTAGATGGACCTTTGGTCTGACCCAGTACGGCCGTTCTTATGTTCATGTATTTTCAGGGAGGTGGAATAGATCACCTCACAGGTCTTTTTTTAGTCTGGCTTCTGTCATTCTTAGGTAACTTAGGGCACTTCTTCACTCGCTGCGCTGAAGATCGATGTTGTGGCGTTCTATTTAGTGAGTCTAGTATAGACCAATAAATTGAAAACTTAGGTCAGCTCCGGCAGGTACCTCTACTCGCAGTTGCGAGGAGTAAGGGAAGCCAGTGGGAGTGTTTGCTCTCGTTGGCCTCCCGCTGTGGGTACACTGCCAAGGTCTGCTTAAAATAAGCCAACTCCAGCTATGTATTCTACAGAGCTGGAGTTGCATACCTTAAGCCGACTTTCCAGGTCTAGTATAGATCTGGCCTTAATGACACTGTTTGGTGTACAACAAAATATCATTTAACTTAGAGACTCTAGTTAAACTGTAACCCAGACTTGTAACATACACGTAAATGTCAGTTTTATTCATGAATTCAACAGCCATTACAGTCTATTAAAACCTCATTCAGAATAACAGTTATTGTAGGAATGACAAATAGCACAGCTTTAATTAAGAGACTGGGAAAGTACTTTTTGCTGGGGTTTAGAACTGACTTTTGAAAGGGCATCAGGCTGAAGAAAGTGTCAGTCCAGATATAACTTTTGTCTTTTTTTTTTAATAATCCAAAATGCTTTAGTTGTTTCAGTTAAGGAGTAAAATAAATTAACTGTTTTCAATTGTATCCTTAGCTTGCCATTTCCAGTGGATGATGAAGATGGAAGTGGGGATTTAGGTGATGGTCGACATTCTGAAATGTATAGAAACTCTTTTCCAAGGAAGGGCTTAACTGAGCAGCAGAAAGAAGGCATCTGTATGGTGAGAAAATTGATGTTTGCTTTAGAGGAAGGAGGCCTGGATGAAATTTACACTTTCAGGTAAACTTGAATACTCCTTTTAGATACTAGTAGTTTAGTTTCTAATTTAATCCCCAAAAATTTTTAATGAATGAAGTGGCATTTTGAAGTTGTGTAAATTATCCCTCATTTTGGTCCTTTAAATCATCATCTTCATCACTTCAGTGGCTTTGATTTAAAGAACAGCCAAGAGAATTATTAGATACAATGGAAAGTGAATTTTCCTTTGTATGTTTCTGTCTTTGTTGAAAGTACCCTTCAAAGCAGCCTAAGGCTTTCCCCTGTCAGTAAAAAACAGGCTTTGTTTTGCACCCTAAGGCCAAACAGAATAATATATTTTTTATTGTGATTGTCCTTTAGGATAATCTACATGCATAAGACTATAACAGATTTAAGTCTCCCCCACCTGTCTTTTTTCTCAGTGGTTGTGAACAATACCACCATTCTGCCTGTTACTCAGACTTATAGCTTAGGCATCATCTTTGACTTGAACCTCTCTGTAGGTCCTCGCATTCAGGCTGTTTCAAAATCTTGGAGATTCTTTGTGGGTAACACCTCTTGGGATGTCACCTTTCCTGGTAATCCACACAGTGAAAACTTTGATGCCATCTCTTGTCATCTTGGTTCCTGAATGCTGCATCATCCTTTTTTCTGGCTTTGACAATGCAGTCTTGCCCTGTTCATCTCCATTTCATCTATAGCTGTCTGTTTTGTTGTTTCTTACACATAGATTGTAAGATCTTTGGGGACAGGCGCTGTCTGTTTCTAAAGAACTTTGTTAATACAGAATTAAGGTAGCACAATTAAGCATTCAGCAATCAAGAAATGTTAAAGTTGAATGTTTTACTTAACTTTGCCTCTTGAGTGTAAGAATTATAACAGTTTTAATTATGTGGACACAGGTTTTTAAATATACATACAACTTCGGTTGTGCCAACTGCTATTAAATTATCATGCATTATTTGATGTGGCTGTAGCTATGTGTATTTCCAAAAGGATTTATTTTTACAGTGAGATAATTAACATTTTAGGGTACATCTAGACTACATTCTTCTTTTGAAAGGAGATATGCAAATTTGGCGCTAATTTGCATATCTTCTTCCAATCGCTTTTTTGAAAGTGTTTTTTTAAATAAAGCAGTTTAGATGCAGTTCTTTTGAAAAAATAACCCCTTTTTCGAAAGAACCCTGCACACCTCATTTTTTGAGGAAGAAGGGTTCTTTCGAAAAAGGGATTTTTTTCAAAAGAACTGCATCTAAGCTGCTTTCTGTTTAGGAAAAAAACGCTTTCAAAAAAGCTATTGGAAGAAGTTATGCAAATTAGTGCCGAATTTGCATATCTCCTTTTGGAAGAAGAACGTAGTCTAGATGTACCCTTAAGTAGTAAATTCCTAATAGAGACAAAGTAATAAGAACAGTAATCTCCACTAAGATTTTACATCAACATAACTACTAGCTCGCTGTAAAAACACACGTTTTTTGTCCTGAAGACATGTCTTTGTATGATCACACAAAGGATGTAATGTAATAAATATTCCCTCAGTTAAAATTGTGTTTTCAATCTTAGTTTTCATATTTTCTGACTCTGAGCTGTGCAACTTTATGCAATGTTATGTTAACAATTTTGTAATTTTAATGTACAGTCATTTAAAGGAACCTTTTTTTGCCTTTTAAGGTTTTTTATCTGTATTTTACTTAGAGATATTCAAAGTAGCTAGTTTTATCCTGAGTTGTGAAAAGAATGTGTGTTCATTAACAACTTATTTTAAAAGTTTACAGTGTTAATTACAAAACAAACGAAAATGGTAATTGAAACAGGATTCTTTATTTTTCCATCTCCAGCCGAAGAAATGTCTCACCAGTGAGAGGTGTCTTTTATAATTTGGACTGTTCGGCTAGCTAAATGACTTATTTGGGTTAATGTTAACTAACTGCAAAATGTTTCATAAGCAACTGTGTAATCTCTTCTTTCCTAACATACTATCTTTAATCCTAATTTCATAGAAATTTTAGGTGGAGAATACCTATTGGGTCACATCTAATCCATTCTCTGGCCTCCCTCCCCCCTCCATTCTTAACATGATCAGTAACTGAAATGTTCTGTATAGTTTTTCAGGGCTGTTCGGGCAAAATATAGCCCACAGGCGCAGTGGGAGCCTCAGTCAGGCTCCCTGCCTGTCCCACCCTCACACACAGCTCAGATAAGATGACTGCGTGGCCTTGTTTGTCTGTGAATAGCTGTGAGCCTGAGGGAAAGGGAGATAGAGGATTTGTTCACTGTCTCCTCCCCCAGCATAATCTTGCAGCTCCCATTTGCTGGTTTGCTGCCAATGGGAGTTACCTGTTTGAAGAATAAGCAGCGTGCAAAGTACCCCTTCCACCCTCCTCTCAGGCTTGTTGCTATTCACAGACATACATGACTCCACAGCCAGCTGCTCTGAGCGGCCTGTTGGGGCATGGAAGGCAGGAAACTTGTGGGGTTGCTGGTTGGGAGTTGCCCAGGTAAGCGTCTCTCAACCAGAGCCTGCCTCTGGCACCCCAGCCTCACCCCAACACAACCAGAGCCTGCCTCTGGTACCCCAGCCTCACCCCAACACTCTGCCCCCTACTGCCTCCCTACCCCACATAACTCAAACCCTCTGCCCCCACTTCCTGCACCCATACCTCCTCCCACACTCCAATCCCCTATCCCAGGTCACAACCCCCTCCTTCACTCAAACTTCTGCACCACCCCTATCCCAGGTCACAACCCCCACCTTCACTCAAACTTCTGCTCCCCTGTCCCTTACCCCAAGCTCCCTTCCTCACCCAACTTCTGTTCCAGAACCGACACCTCCTTTATTAATATCATGGAAGAGTGCGGCCCTTGACCACTTATCATAGTCTTGGAGTGGCCCCCCGCCGGAAATTATTTCCCATCTCTGGTTTATTTTCTAGTGCTTTGTACAATTTAAGCCAAGCCAGTTGGACTTCCGCCTTTCCCTTGTACAATATTTTCTGGATTGTTTTATTGCAGCTTATCAAAGAGGTCATCTCTGTTTTCTTGATTCTTTAATTTAGAGAGAGCCTGGAGCGTCTTTCAATGTTTAAAAAAATCGAAAGAAGACCTATGGCATGGCCCTGCCAGCTAACTATAGGTTCTAATCTGTCTATAAGGATCGTGGCATACAAATCAGTAAGTTACTAACATTTTTATGTGTATGTTGGCAGGAGCACCGTTAGCTGCACCTTCATTTTTTCCTTAAAAGCAAGAAAATTAAACTCATAAAGCTAAATGAAAAAAAAATTATGGTGAGATTTTACATGTGCAAAAGTCAGTAAATCTAAAGTTCTGATTCTCACAGGAAATGTAACTTTGCTATATTGGACATAGATGTTTAAAGCATTAAAGTTAACAACATTCAGAAAGAGAAAATAATTCCTATCTGCAATGTGACATTTGATTGTATAACATTTACAAACTGATTTTAGGTGCTGCATTTACCTGGTGCTTTCCAACTGGATCCCCCTGAAATGCCCAGAAATGAATGAGGCTTAATAATTCCCTCATTTATCAGAGAAAATTATACTATTTTTTAGGAACAGAAAGAAGGATACCTTCAACTTGAAATCACACTTGGGGGTATAAATGTTTTACTTTTGTTACAAATGTTGCCTGATATTTAGGTTTTGTATTAATTATATAGATGACTTACACATTTCCAGTTATTATTTTGTGACAGGTTCTTGTCCAAGGATCTGGCCCAATATGTAAATTACTGTATAGTTGGGAATCCCAGTGTGCACAGTTGCAACACTCACACTATAGAAACCCTTGTATATTTACAAATATAGTTGATGAATACATTTAGGACAGTCACAAACACTGCAACTTAGTAAGATAGATAGGGGATGTACGTCTGCACTTCCATGTATGTGCACCATTCCTTCTAGAACAACCTGCAGTGCTAGCCGTCATCTTCCTAATCACCATCACCCTCCCCATCCTCACCAGCGTCTAGCATTCTGGCACCTCCCAAGGACAACATCTCCTCCTACCGCCCCTTGGCTGGGATGTCAGCATGTGCACCTCCCAAGGACAACATCTCCTCCTCCTACCACCCTTTGGCTGGGATGTCAGCATGCTGTTATGTTTGATGCATATTCAGAAGGGGATGTTTCCCTCTTCCCTCATTTGTATTTCCTCACCTTACTAATAGGGCGGTATATCATTAATCTCAACTTCTTATATATGTCAGTTTGTTGTCATAGTCCCTTTTATGGTTAGTTATCACAAGTGTTATTTCTGTCCAGCCTGGTTATTTTGGTCAGTTCTTAACTGGTTATTTTGGGTTTTTTCAAGTTGTGCTGTATAGTTTGAGAATATACTAGGAAGCCCTTATGCCATTGAAGATTGCCTTATCTTATCACTAACTAACTAGGTGAAAGGTCCCAAATTATATGCATGCTGACTTTGCTAACTAGGTGAAAGATCCCAGATATTGTAACCCAACTCTATTGTCTGAATGAAAGGTCCTGGACACAGATATACTAGCACAGACTTAGCTCAACGTACAGGACGTGGCATAAAAGTCCGTTGTGTGACAGCCAAACTATTTTAATATAAACCTGTTGTAACCTATTATAATAAACATATAATCAAATTAATAAAGAAATAAGAAATCTGTTAGAAAATATATCTTCAGGCAACCAAGCAGGTTACTCCTGTAGGCTACATAAGTCACTTGTAAGATTATAACTTAGAAAAGTCAGTGAAAATATTTTCCCTTTTTTCAGTGTTCACTTTGTTCAGTTGGATATGCTCTTACATATAATTATTTTCACTGTTCAGTCAGCTTGCCCTGTTGTGTGCTAGAGTCTTTCACACAGCAAGAAGAGGACAGACATTTTAAAATTAGTCTTAGAGGGGTAGCCGTGTTGGTTTGTAACTTTAAAAACAAGTTATCCTGTGGCACCTTAGAGACTAACAAAAATATTTAAGATCATGAGATTTTTGTGGGTAAAACCCACTTCATCAGATGTGTTGGAGTGGAAATAGCAGAATCCAAGATATATAACAGCAAAAGTAGTGCTTAGAAGTTCATCAGATGTGTTGGAGTGGAAATAGCAGAATCCAAGATATAAAACAGAAAAAGTAGTACTTAGAAGTGCTGTTAAATATATCTTGGATTCTGTTATTTCTACTCCCAACTCATCTGATGAAGTGGCTCTTACTCACAAAAGTTAAGTAAGGTGATTTTTGGTGAAATAGAGTTGAATTGATGCATCGTCTCAACTTAAAAGTTGGATTCTGACCAGTATTCTGTTTCAAGGAGAACAATTCTAATTTAGTAGTATGTCAGATGTTTAGAAGGTGAATTTATTAGGCTTGGGTAAGACTCTAATCACTTGCTAGTTTCTGGCGTCTCTTCATTTATTATAATACTAATTGTTATAATGATTTGATAATGGTATTGTGCTAGACACTATTCTGAAGCAGAGTGGGAGACAGCCCTACCCCCCATAGACTTTCAGTAGGTATGGCAAGCAAGGTTTGGAGGGATTTGAGAACCATTTGTCTAATCTGAAATTAGAATCGTCACTATAAGCAGAGCACTAGTGATGGTCAGAGCAGCAAATGTTGTTTTTAAAGTACCTTTATCGGTAGCTGACCCAGCGCTTGGTCAAAGGAAATGATTTTAGGAACTGATACTCATGTTGTAGTGATGTCCCAGCTCCAAATGAGATTTGAATATTCCTTTTCTTTGAATTTTGACACACAGCTCACAGAAGAGAAAGTGAAAAAGTCGTGGACACTTGTGGATGCCCAGACCTTAAAAAAAGAAGATCTGCAGAAAGAGACGGTTTACTGCTTGAATGACGATGATGAAACAGAAGTTCAGAAAGATGATCTTGTTCAAGGTACGGATTATTCTCTGTGCCCTCTAAAGGCATTTAGGCCTAAATTTTAGGATATGTCCTTGTGAGTCACCTAAACATATTTGAAAATCCCACCCTGAGCTGCCTGGCGATGGATTTAGAAGTTTAATTGTGGCCTTACACTGTAAACTCTTGGGGGAAGGTTCTTGTCCTCCTCTGTGTCCATAAAATCCATATCGTTGCCCCCTGTAGTTAGAGCTGCATGTTTTCTGCAAAGGTTAAAATAACACGAAATAACCCAAAATACTTATCTAGCAGCTGTGCCTGCTGGCACACTGGGTCGCAGAGCCACTCCCTCTGCTGGGCGGAGGAGCAGCCGGGCCAAACTGGTGCGGAGCTGCGTCCTCATCTCCTAGGTTCAAACACCCGGAGCATGGAGCTGGGCTCAGCCCTGCAGGACCAGAGGCCCCACTGCATAGTGAGTGAGAGTTGGGCACACTCTCTAATCCCCCTCCCTCTCTCCAGAACTCCCAACATCCCCTCTATACAACACGAAACAGAGTTGGGCACACTCTCTAATCCCCCTTCCTCTCTCTAGAACTCCCAACATCCCCTCTCTACAACACGAAACCTCCCCCTTTCAAACCTCTCCCCCTCCGAATTATAAAAAAATAAAAAGAATTTCACAGGACTGCAACTAACGCAATAATAATACCAGGTTGGAACTAGAAGGCATTGTAGCAGTTCCCAAGCAATGCTCTGTGGAGCACTTGTGCTCCATGTTGGATGAGCAAGTGGATGGTGCTGACTCGTCTTGTATCCAGCTGTTAAATTGCATCAAAATCTAGCTAAAAATATGTCAAATACTTCTCTGCTGTTACAACAGTTGGTTACATGGAAAATATGTGCTACAAGGATATTAAACAATTGTGAAGGGAAGGAGCAATAGTCTCTGTGGTACTGAAAGTAAGGGGGGGGAGAGGGAGTAAGGGGATAATCTGTTAAACAGATGTGGGTCTCACCATAAAAAAATTTGAGAATTAGCTTTACCATTTAGATTAAAAAGAGGCTTCAGGAGCCAAGGTAATAGAAAGCAGGCGAGTGGTCACAGCATTTAATTTTGTGTTTTGCAAAGAATTCCGTTTCTTAGATGAATATCGTCAAATTGGAATGCAGTTCATTTTTAAAAGTTTGAGTTAAAAATTGTCTCAGGTGCTGTATCTGCTCCTCAGTCTCCCTGGGTAGGTCTACACAAGAAGAACTCGCAATTGGCCTGTGCCGGAGGCTTGGGCTTGCAGGACTGTGTCATTGTGGTGTAGACTTTCTGGGCTTTGGCTGGAGTCTGGACTCTACGACTCTGCAGAACTTGGGTTCCAGTTTGAGCCTGGAAGCTTACACAGCCGTGAAACAGAGCCGTAAGCCCAAGGCGGCCGGCATTGGCCAGCTGTGGGTGCTAGTTGCTGCATAGACAAATCCCTGTCAGTTTTTGTGGGTATGCAGTCACATTTTATTCCTCCCTCTCCTCAGCTCTCCCCTCCTCTCTGCCTGACCCCTCTTTAATTGGTTAACCTATTCCTCAGGCAGGGTCAGAACATTTTAGAAATATTTGAGCCTTCCTGACCTCCCTCTGTGGAAGTCCTGATCTGTGAATGTCCATCAGACACTTTCTTTGAAGCAAAGAAGTGGTAAATAGTTCCAGTTTACCTTTGATTCCAATATCAAAGTAAACCAGAGAGACCAATTGTCTGACCTTCAACTGCAGTTAAACAGCTGCTAATGCTTTATAGAAATGTTTGAAGAACATTCTGTTTGTAGACTATTCGGTACATATCGCATGTTTTCTGAGTTTTGCTTCGTTTTGCTTTTTAATTTTCTTTTCAAATTCCTAAAGAAGTGGGCATGCAAACAATTTTTTCATTTTGGGATGTTCAGCTGCTTCTGGTGTTTATCCCCCACTCAAAGACATCATCCTGTGTCTGACAGCATAATCAACTAAACAGAAACTAATTGTGGTATTGTAACTTCAGGTTGGAGGAAAAAACAGCAAGAACAGGTGATACTCCTAAGAAACAAAGATCTTGATTTCATGCAAATATACCTAGTGATAATAAGCAAAGGAAGCAAAACACAGAAATAAATGCTGGATCAAATAGACTCTGTACAGAAAGGTTTTTGCTTTTCTCTGAGGCATCAGTGGATCTTTAATATCTGTGTTTATGACAGCTTGGTTTCTGAATTTCTTGTGGGCTCCTTTCTTTGAGTCTCCTGCTGATTTGTGTTATTTTTTTGCTACTATGTTTACAAAGAGTGCTCATGCTCTTTTCACTGAGTACTGTTTTGTATAAGGTGTTGGGAAGCCTGTTCAGTTAATTTTTTTTCTTTCCTGATGTCTGCAAAGGTAGGTACATTATGTAAAATGATGTGCAAGGACTGTTACTGTTTTTTTGTGATTTGCAAATTGTGTCTATGGAGTTTGTGATTTTTTTTTTGTTAACAGGAGAAAGTAATTTGATGTAAATTACAAAGTTAATCGTATGGGGGATCGCTGTGAGGCGTGCATGCATTGTTAAAATATGCAGAGTGCTAATTTCAATGTAAGAAATGTAGGCCCTTATGCTTACCAGATGCTCATCTCTTGTTCTGCAGGATTCCGCTATGGGAGCGATATAGTTCCTTTTTCTAAAGTGGATGAGGAGCAAATGAAATACAAAACCGAAGGAAAGTGTTTTTCTGTGTTGGGATTCAGCAGAGCATCTCAGGTAAAGTATTGAACTTCTTCACACTCAGTTTCTAGATAACTGTTGAATATAGGTCAGTGTCCCCAAGGGACAATGATGCTATTCTATGCTCCAGTGAATAAGTGCCCATTGTGTGGGCAATTGCTATTACATGGGCAGGGATATGTCAGATTTGCCATGTCCATTGGAGCTGGACTGCACGTAGGTAGCTACAAAGAGGGCATTTGAGCGAGGTTCATTGATGCGGCCTCTGGCTCATGAATCATAAGCTCTCACATAGAGGTGGGGGATGTCTTGCGTTCCCTGTTTTAGCCCAGGAGCTGACGTTATGGATGAAGAAGTAGCTCCAGAATTACCCCTCCCTCTGCCAGTGGCAAGGAATTGGATTCCTCCTTCCCAAAGATCTCGTTCGTTCTCTGCCCCAAATCCTCTGGCTTTGTCCAAGTTTGTATGTTCGTTTCACTGCACTACCAGTAGAAGCTCAATGATATCTGAAAACTCTTGGAATCTAAATGTCATAATTCTAATGCTCGTAGGCAGCCTTCCCTCTGATTTTTCCCACCGCTGAGTGGAATGAATTTTGTTATGTGCACCGGTTTGCAGGTGATGTGGAGGTTTGGGGTGCAGGAGGTGGATCTGTGTTGTGGGGATTCAGGGTGGGGCAAGCTGTTGGGGCTCAGACTCACCTGGGCAGCTTTTGGGCAGTGGTGCTACGTTAGGCTGCCTGGTGCCGGCCTGTATTGGGTACCGCACTGTGCTCCGGAGTCAGCCAGCAGGTCCGGCTCCAGGGAGGAGGGCATGAGGCTCCAGGCACATGTGCTACTCTTGCCCGCAAGGTGAAGGCAGCACGCAGGGCCCCATGGTCCTCTGGCCATAGCACAGAGCTGCCTCAGTCCCTGGGTACAGCAGTTCCATACTGGGGCTGGTGGGGAGGTGTCCCTCTCTGCCAGCCACAGCAGCTCCATGCTGGGGCTGGTGGGGAGGGGTCCCTCTCCCTTGGGCTCAGGAGCTTCAGTGTTTGGGGAGAGGTTTGTCTCACCACTGCAGCCTTGAGTCCCTGCATGGGGCTTAATGAGAAGTTCCACAGACATACAGCTTAGAGGAAACTTAGCTCGTAGGCTTAGTTTATGAGCTGTGGTTTTCTTCTGTTTTTATTAAAGTAACAATAATTGAATGTAGGGATCATTTCACAATGTCAGGGCTCACAAGCAATAAGTGTGGGAAGACAGTTATGTATCTTTTTAAAGTAGAAACATACCCTATGAAGAGACAGTAAAGAGTGTTTGTGGATATATTCTAATTCTTTTTATAGGGAGCATTCATTTTGCCATTCATCACCATGGCATCTGGGAGCCCTACAAGGCTTAAGATGAGACATATCTCAGTAAAACAACCAAACACTTTGCCAGAGTTGTAGATAGAAAGAAATCAATCCTCTAGGAAAGCAGGATATAATCATTTGGGAAGGCCTGGACAATGCGATACCTTGCCTCGCTTTCTAAAAGTGGAATATACACATATGCAGACTCACAAGAGCAGGACATTTTAAGCCGGTGCAACTTTTCCCTTTCCGGGACATCCCTGAGATTGATTATGAGCATCTACACGTCCTCCTAGAGTCCCACGGGGTTCAGTCATATTCAGGTGAAGTCATGGTGGGGTGGGGCTGGGAATCTTAAGTGCTAGCAGTATGCTGAATGCTCCCAAATCTACTTCTCTGTCTTGTCAAGTCTCCCAGATATTTACAGTGCCTTGACAAAATTGGGGGCAGTCCTGGTCTTGGACTGGAAGGAGGCCAAGCTACCTCACTACACTGTGTCCTGACCTTTTAATAGGCCTGGCTCCAGGGCTGGCCCGCCACGGGGCAAGGCAGGGCACAGGTCTATAGCCCAGCTGAATAATTGTCCTAGTGTCTGGGCCCTAGCTCAGAGCGAGGCTGTCAAAGGTCCAGGGCTCAGTCTAAGGTACTGGCCGAGCTGCAGTTCACAGGCACAGCCCTTTCCCCAGGTGGGGCAGCAAACAATGTAAAGATTAGGGCCTTCTTCAAGCTGAGCGGTAGGTCTAAGGCCTGGCCATTGCTCAGGGCAGGCCACAGACAGTTAAGGGCTCAGGCCTGGCAGCAGTTAGTAAGGTCCAAGCCCTTGGTCAGGGCGGGGCAACAAACAAGCAGGGGTTTGGGCTGAGCAGTGTTCGTGTCTCCTTGCTGGCAGAGAGCCGACAAGCGCAGGGGTTCTTATCTCTACAAGGGGGAACCTGCCACCCAAGGTCATGGGTGGTGAGGGGGATGCAGGCCCACCCGCTCCACTGTGTCCCAGCCCAGGGACCTAACAGTAGTAGCGCAGGCTGCCCCTGGGTTGGCGGGGATCCCAGCTGTAACATGCTGCCCAGTTGCTCTCCATTTCCTCAACTGGCCCTAGATTGGCTAGCTCTAGGCTGCTTCCCAGTTCCCCCTGGGGGCTACCTGGCTCAGCCTCTGTTCCTTGGGGTCTGCTGGGGATGATGGCGCTGGCAGAGTGTCTATGGGGTCTGGGTCAAGCAGTGGTGCAGATGGCACAGGCCAGGAGAGCCCCTGGCCGTCCAGGCTACTCTTCTGGGCCTGGCACCAACATGGCAGCCCTTCCTAGTCTTCTGGGCCTGGCAGTGGCCCAGGCAGCCTATCCCAGTCTGTTGGATGTGGCAGCGGCCTTGGCGGCCCATGCCAGTTCTCCCTTTTAGGATGGGGTAGTCGGGCATTCCTCCTGGGGAACTTGGACCGAGTATCTGGACTGCTCTGTGGCTAGGCTCCAAACAAACTCTAAGCTTGTACTCTTATACGCCCAGCATCGCCTTCCTGCTTCCTGGGGGTGGGGCTTGGTAACTCTGGCCCCGCCCACCAAGGGATCTTATGGGGAGATTCCCTTCTGGGTCAGCAGAAGGCCTGCTGACTCACTACACTCCCCTTGAAAGCACTGTTGAACGTGTTTCTTTGAAAGACATCCAAGAATCTATAGAGAAGAACCCATGTTCTTGTCAGATTTTTACACAGCGCTTGCTCCCTGTAGCTCCCTTCACTTTATTAGACTGTGAATGGAAAGCAGCCTGTTTAGCACCCTTACTAGTGGCTTGGCAATGCTCTCTTGAGACTTTCATATGTACTGTCCCATACAGGAATTGTAGTGAATTTATCCTGTGTTAACTTTAAAGACAAATCCCTCTGATAGTCATAAGGGATGCTAAAGGTCGGTTAAAAATGTAAACATGTAACCATTGAAAAAAATCTCAAGGGTTACATGTTGCGGGTGTAGCAGTATAAAGTAGGGATGTTAGATTTCGGGTAATTGAATAGTTGAGTTACTGCATGAATTCTTAGCGGTTACTTGACTAATCTGTAGTCCCCGGGGCAGGGCCAGCAGCCAGTGTGCTCTGGCCCCGCTCCCCAGGAGCCTTCTGCCACTTTGCGCTGCTACCTCTGTATCAGAGGCAGCAGGGTAGGGTGCCATGCGGGAGCCAGTCCATGAGGGGATCCAGTTTAAAAACTAGCTCCCCGCACAGACCGGCTGCCTGCTGCCTTGTGTTGCTGCCTCTGATACAGGCAGGAACACGAGGTGGCAGCAGCCGCTGTCCACGGGAGGTCCAAGCACCCCACGGACGGAGGCTGCTGTGGCAGGAAGCTGCTGCGAAGCGAGCTGGCCAGCAACAGGCTGGTCCTGCAACAGCCCCTGTCCGTGGGGTTCCAGCTTCCCGCAGAGACTGGCTGCTGCCATGAAGCAGCCTTTGTCCATGGCGGGCCCAGGCTCGCTGTGGACAGAGGCTGCTCCACGAGATGCAGAGCTGCTCTGTCCGTGGTGAGCCTGTGCCTGCCATGGGCAGAGGCTGCTTCTCAGCAGCCTCCCCTGACCTCCCTTCCCCATGCTGCTGCCTCTGAGAGAAGCAGCGGAGCAGGGGGCAAGTGGTACCACAGAGCCAGTGCTGGGGGAAACCAGCTTTTAAGGAGCCGGCACTGGCTTCTTCTTCCCCCACCCTTTGTTGCTTCTGATACAGAGGCAGTGGGGGGTGAGGGGAATGTGAGAAGTCGAGAAGATTAACCGATAAGCCTAGACTTATTGGTTAACTGTGTACTCGACTACTCGTTCACATCCCTAGTTTAAAGCTTAAATAAGCATTATACTGCTGAGCCCGCAGTGAAGCATCCCCTGGAGCAGGGCTTCCAGCCCCTGCTGAAGCCTCCTTCCCGGGAGTGGAGTGAGCGGCCCTTGCTTGCCTGGCTCCCACAGAGGAGGTTTAATGCGCCTTCCCGAGAGCCGCTGAGTGTAACTGACACCATTAACCAAGAAGCATCAGGTTATCAGTTAACTGGTTACGCCCTAACATGCCTATTGTTCCTGGGTGCATAGCTTCAATCTTACAAGATGAACTCTTGTATAACAGCAATGGCCCAAAACAAATTTGATTAGACAGACGTTTATGCCCTTTCCTTTCACATGAGTCTCTTGGACTTTTGTTATAAACAGCACACCCCTTAATCACCTCCAGACTGGAGTACTATAATAAAGCCTGATTATTAAGGCTCTCAGAAAGTAAAAGTAGCTGCTTATGGCAGCAGCTTTTCTGCTAAGCAAGGCAGACCGGTGAGAACACACTGCGCTAGCTCTTCACATGCTACATTAGTTGCTTATCCAGTTCTGAGATCAACTCAAGATTCTGAGTAGCCAAAGTTCCATCTCGTTTTCTGGATATTTCTGTTGCTTTTTCTAGAAATCTCTCATCTACCAGCTCTTCGTGCTTTGATGGTCTATAATAGACCCTGGCCATAATACTGCTCCTATTTGTCTGCTCCCTTTTATCTTCACTCAGAGACTTATAATTGGTCTGCTTCTGCCCTCCTACTAGATAACATAAGAACATAAGAACGGCCGTACTGGGTCAGACCAAAGGTCCATCTAGCCCAGTAGCCTGTCTGCCCACAGTGGCCAGCACCAGATGCCCCAGAGAGGGTGGACCGAAGACAATGATCAAGCGATTTGTCTCCTGCCATCCCTCTCCAGCCTCTGACAAACAGAGGCCAAGGACACCATTTTATCCCCTGGCTAATAGCCTTTTATGGCCCTAACCTCCATGAAATTATCTAGCTTCTCTTTAAACTCTATTATAGTCCTAGCCTTCACAGCCTCCTCTGGCAAGGAGTTCCACAGGTTGACTACTGTATGTTTCCTTCTGCATAAAGTGCATTAACCAGAGAAATTCAAGCAGTTCCAAATACAGAATAAAAAAGGGAATAAACCCACTTCATATCATTTTCTCAAAGTACTGAAGCAGCTTTTTCAGTCATTTGCATCTCTCAGAATTTATACTGAGCATCCAATTTACCTAGATTATTATTGTTTTGTTTTTTATTGTTTAAACAGTTGAAGGAATTACCTTTAAATATTTTAGATCCAAATTTTAATTCCAAGGCATTTTGTTCTTATGTGATGACATGGCAAAAATGGTGTAAAGAAGTGAAACCTTTCAGGCTACTTGAACACCTACATGAAAACCTATATAAATATATGTATATTTTGTGTGTGTGTGTGTGTGTGTGTGTGTGTGTGTGTGTGTGTATATGTATGTATATATATATATAGAGAGAGAGAGAGAGAGAGAATATGAATATGAATATGAATATGAATATGATGCTCAACACCATAGTATTTGACCTCCTAAAGACAAATAGGAAGGAATAATAGGTATAAGAGGTTGAGTTCAAGAGCTTCAGGAATGGTGCTGATTTCAGAAGGTCAGATCCTCATCTGGCATAAATTGTTATTTGATTTAAATGGAGTTATGACAGGTTACAGTGCTGGATATCTGCCACCAAGCCTACATCCAGGAGCTGCCTTAGCCACACATTTAAATTTTTTTTATAAAAAGGAGAGAACCAGTACCAGGTGTGCTTAAGCCTTGTGTGTAGCTTTCTAAATAATATTAAATGCCACGAAGAACTCCTCACCCCAAGATACTTGTTCCCTCGAATCCAATATTTCAATTCTATATTGCCCGTTCATACCTAGCAATCTTGCCACATATCTTGGGATTTGTTAGTTCAGTCTGATTTGAGATCCAAAAGTTTTGCCATGTTGTAAAAGCAACGTATGAATGCTGAATCCTATCTGTCGCAGGGAAGTGTAATTTTCCCTTTGGCAACTACTGCCACTCTTCATACAGACTAATAAGACTAGCACAGCACTGTCCAAATGACCCTTGATAGGATGGTGGTTCTTTATGATGAATACTGCAAAATATGAGTAGAATTCCAGAGTTCATGGTAAATGGAAACAGAGCAATGTATAGGTTTCATATCTACCACACATAGTAATTAAATGCTTTGGTTTTATATGTGGGTATTATGTTTGTTTCATCTAGTGTAGAATTAATTAATTGGTACAGATAAAAATTATTTTTGTTTTAGATCAAAACTAATCGTTTTAGAAACTTTAATTTATAGATCCAGAGGCATCACTACATGGGCAGCCAGGTTCTGAAAGTCTTTGCAGCGAAAGATGATGAGGTGAGATAAATGAATTTTCAGTTGCGTGGGGGCTTACCATGAAGAGTTAATGGGGATAAATGTCGTGGTTATGATGGCATACGGGTCCTTTGGTGTTAATAAAACAAATACATTCTTCACTGTGCAATGTGCAAAGGTCTAGTGCCAGTTCTCATCCAGGTTCAGTGGGAGCAAGATTGAGTCCAAAATGAATATCATTTGTCCAATCAGCAGTGAGAAATTTGTAAGTTTCGCTATAGTTTATTTATACCTAGGAAGACTGCAGGAGGTAGGTCATATTTGCAATGTTTGTAAAGAGTGGCTCGATTTTTATCTGGATGGTAGTATCTCAGATTGTCTCCTGGAATGCAAAGTGTGGCTTGTTTTAAAAAAAAATTTGAAACATCAGTGTTGCAAGCTGATGTAAAACTCAACAGAAAAAAAAATACAGAGGCAGTCAGTAAAGTTTTTCTTTTCCCTCAAGGGCTAAAATAATCAGTAAAAAGGAAAATAAATGACTGTAACCAGAAAAGGAGCCACAATTCCAGCAAGCCTTGTGATTCTGGGTCTGGAACCCACTGCCTTCCTAGCAGCCATTTTATAGTCTTCCCTCTAACATCTGTGCAAGAGGACAGGGAACCTGAACTAAGTGTGAACCTTTTGTTTCCTGGTGACTATGTAATGTCCCTGCACCCAGTCTCTCTCATGTTGAAAATAAAATCTGAGTCTTCTCTCAACATTCAGAACCAAAGCTCTGAAACTATCATGTCTTCCTTCTTTTTTATCTAGCAATTTCACTTTGAGCGCTTCCCATTTTTGTTTTGAAAAGGTGACGTGTACAGGACCTCTAAAGATAGTCCCAATTTTTTAATATATCCACAGTCATGACCTGATTTGAACTGCACCTGTTGCTTTTGGAGGTAAAAGGTGATGTTTAAGTAAAGCTATTGACTAAAATTGGAGATGCAAAGTGTGACGTCTTCGCTAGTGCTTCTGGATTCAGTGTGAAAATTGGTCTGAATAGCTTGTGATGAAGAGTTGAATGAACTTGCAGCTCTTTCTTGGCAGGCTGCAGCAGTTGCTCTTTCTGCCCTGATTCATGCTTTGGATGAGTTGGATGTGGTGGCCATAGTGCGTTACGCTTACGACAGAAGATCTAATCCTCAGGTTGGCGTAGCCTTTCCATATATCAAGGATGCCTATGAGGTAAGATTTTGACCTTTCGTGACATCTATCTTTAGAAAGTCTCTAAATCCATTTGTTTACAAACATTAATGAATGAAACTTCACAACAAAGCAAATGGCATGTGTTTGCAGTATGAAGAGCAAAGTGTGTGTTTTGGTTTGTATACAACGACATCAAGTTAGAGTAAGGAGATAATCACAAATCTGTGATGACACCATATCTGGATTATTTCAGTCATTTCTGAGCTTCTAAATATCAACCAAATACTACGAAATTGGGAATTCTGAGAAACCGGTTAAAAATCACTAAGATGCTGGAAGAATTAATTGTAACCAGAACCAGTAGAAATCTGCTAGAAATGTTGCTAAGTTTTGCAGATTTCTCCCCCCACCCCCGCCTCCTCAGAACCTGGGAAATTGGGGGGAGATGTGCAGTGTTTAGGAGGTTTGTTTTTTTACAGAGAACTTTGCAAATCTATATGGTCTATGTAAATGTGCATCTTTATTCCACTGATTCTCAACCTTTTTCATACCAGGAATTGTTATAATAGTTTCAGGACCTCAATGCCATCGTCACATTAAAGAAAGGGAGGTGGCCTGGAATCCTTTGTCACTTGTTCGCAGGGCCTGGTTAAAAACCCATGATCTCGATCTTCTGTCAAATGTTGGATTTTGGTCATAGCAAAGCAGCCAAGAAGGAAGGGGTAAAAAAATCTGTTACAGGCAGTCTCCGGGTTATGTACAAGATAGGGACTGTAGGTTTGTTCTTAAGTTGAATCTGTATGTAAGTCAGAACTGGCGTCCAGATTCAGCCGCTGCTGAAACTGACCAGCGGCTGACTACAGGAAGCCCGAGGCCGAGGTGCTCTGCCCCGGCTTCCTGCAATCAGCCGCTGATCAGTTTCAGCAGCAGCTGACTTGGGGACACCTGGGGGTCTTAAGTTGAATCTGTATGTAAGTCAGAACTGGCGTCCAGATTCAGCCGCTGCTGAAACTGACCAGCGGCTGACTACAGGAAGCCCGAGGCCGAGGTGCTCTGCCCCGGCTTCCTGCAATCAGCCGCTGATCAGTTTCAGCAGCAGCTGACTTGGGGACACCTGGGGGTCTTAAGTTGAATCTGTATGTAAGTCAGAACTGGCGTCCAGATTCAGCCGCTGCTGAAACTGACCAGCGGCTGACTACAGGAAGCCCGAGGCAGAGAAAAGCAGGGGTCCGGAGAAAAGCCTGGTCTGCTGGGGGGGAAGCCCCCCCAGCAGACCAGGGAGACGGGGAGCAAAGCCTTGGAGGATGCCGGCAGCTCCGCGGCTTTGCTCCGCGTCTCCCCGGTCTTCTGGGGGGGGCTTCCCCCCCCCAGCAGACCCGGGAGACGTGGAGCAGCTTTTCTCGCCCCGGAGGACGGGGGCGGCGGGACCCCCAGATGCACCGCGGTCCCGCCGCCCGCGTCCTCCGGGGCGAGAAAACCCCCGTTCGTAACTGCGGATCCGACATAAGTCGAATCCGCGTAACTCGGGGACTGCCTGTATTTACAACTTTACAAGTTGCAGACTTGCAGTCAGATTGGTCCCTAACTTGTACTCTATACAACCCCACAAGATGTGTGTTAGTACAGAATTTTGGGTCCAATAGCTATCAAAAGGCTTTTCAAGCATATTTTGCTGCATTGAATATGAGTGGGACGTTTTGTCCACAGTTAAATAGCTGACATTTAATTTTGTTGTCATTAAGTTTTTGGTTTGACATCTAGTTAAGTTGAATGGGAACTAGACTTCGTGACTTCTCAAGATTCCTTGCATCCCTAGATGTCTATGATTCTGTGTTTTTTTTTCCACACCTCTCAGAAATATTGTTTGAATTATTCTGTAGTCTCTGGAAGATAGAACCAGATTGTTTCACATTGGATTTGAGAAGGTTTCTTTGAAAAGGGCTAGAAGGATCTTTTTTTTTTTTTTTTTTTTTTTTAAATGAATACTTTCCATTCCCCACACACACATTGAAATACAAACAATTCCATGCTGAGAACCCTAAAAGCTATAAAGTATTGCAGAATTTCTACTGCATACATTTCTAGTGATCTTACTTGGGAGAGACTATTCAGAGAGTTAAGCAAGTAAAGGTTGGCTGTGCAATGACTAAGGTGGGGGTGGACACAAGTCTTCATATTTTTGAAGGGTATAAACATTAAGGATGGAAAAGAATTATTTAAGGTGCTACGAGTTGGAGGAGGTGTATGAGCTAAGAAAAAAAATAGGCTGGGAATGTCAAAACAACTTGCTGATGGTAAGATGCAGTAGGCTGTAGAACAGTCTCAGTAGTGATAAAAGCTCTTTTGCAGGGGATATTTAAAGCTAGTTTGGACAGTCCTCTCTAGGCAACAATCCTAAACTAGCAGAATGATGGACCTGGTGATCCAATAGGTTTAATACATGGCTAGAGCATTACTGACACAATTTTTAAAATCATCCTGATATTTTTTTAAATAATAATTACGTTAAATATTGTACTTCACATTTGTATTGTACAACCGTTTTTAGTAAACCAGATTATTTCAGATTTTACAGATTTTTCTAGGCAACAATCCTAAACTAGCAGAATGATGGACCTGGTGATCCAATAGGTTTAATACATGGCTAGAGCATTACTGACACAATTTTTAAAATCATCCTGATATTTTTTTAAATAATAATTACGTTAAATATTGTACTTCACATTTGTATTGTACAACCGTTTTTAGTAAACCAGATTATTTCAGATTTTACAGATTTTT